GGTATGTTTGGTATTACGAAGACCCATATATAGTTATTCCTGAGCATCTTCGAGAATTGGGTCTCATTGAATAAACTTAAAACTTCAAATACTTTATGTGCATTAAAATCCTTATTTTTTGATATAATAATTTGGTCAGTATTAGTTTGATTAGAAGAGTATGCCTATATCTTTGAAGCATATGAAATCTAACAAATTCGCACCGGATTGGCCTTTTCACCTTTTAGTCTGTGAAGGGTCTCAGCGGAAAAACAAATATGGTCGTAAATCTTATGCTTGGTAATATACTCCAGCACGTTTAAAGGAAAAAAAGAGGAGCAGAATATGAGGGCACTTATTCATACTGCATGTCAAAATTATTACGGATAAAAATATACTGTACATATTTAAAAATCAAGATCAAGTGAATAATTTTATTATTTATTATTTTATAAATAAAACATTCTAGACGGTCATTAAATCAGTATATTAATAATAATGATTAACTATTAATCTTGCCCACTTCATACAAAGAAACATCATATCATTTATCATTTACGTTTCTTTACTTTCTTTGATTTTTCTGGTGTTCGGTACTCCTTACAACCATTACTCATAACCACTTTTCCGGAGGCAAATTTTTCTTTCTCTGCTCTTTCTTTTATACGCTTGAATCGAGAGACAGTAGAACGTAACAATTTCTATATGTAATAAGTGACAAAAAGGCATGTGAGTGAAATAATTTGTATTCTAGAAGTCGTATCAAATTCAGATTAAATTCTATCCAACCTTGATTTGTAACATAACCCGCGCAATTTTAATGGTTTCTCCAAGTTCATTGTACTTTGTAGGAATATTAAGTTTCGCCAACTCAAATGATAAATAGAAATTACCTCCTACGTAGACGATGAGAATAGCACGGATAAAGAAAGATTTTGAAACAAATCCAGGCATGTGAAGTTTTGTGCAGGCACGCAAAACCTGTTTTGAAAGTGATCCACTACTTTCTGCCGTGATCACTTTTACAAGGCCTTTATGCATATCCCGAAGTGTTTTCTGAGTCTTGAGAGTATCCTTCATATCGTCATCAACTTTTGATTCGCACATAGAGAATTCCCGACCCCATGGTGTATCTTTTCCTAGTTCGTGTTTCTATGACTTCAGTTAGTAAATAGATTCTGAGATAAAAAAAGTTTGAGTCTATCATACCGTGAACATCCAATCAAGATGAAACCCTTCTGCATTATCCGGAGCATCTACTGCTTCACATCGTCGATCCCTAGATGCTCTTGAAACCATATCTCCGCTTATTCGAGAAAAAAAAAATTAGTATTATTATCAGCTGTGAAAATGATAATGAAACCTACAAGTGACAGTCCAGGACATCTTCAAAACATGAGAATATATGTCGTTTAACAAACATATCGATATCTCTCTCCGAGTTCTTTCGTTGTGGGATCTCCTTTTCTAACATCTCACACCTAATCAAAGTTATAGTTAAAGAGAAGCATAATAAAAGTTGTGGATACGAAATGGGATACGAGAATGACCAAATGAACTTACGTAAATCGTATCAATTCTAAAATATAGCTAACATCTTTGTCTAAGTAATCGTTTTCCTCAATAGTAGTAATTGTTGATGCCTTATCACATGATTGGTCGTCGTCAAATAGATCAGGTTCTGAGTTTGACTCCTCAGCCTTCATTTCCATTTTCATGAGTTCTACAATTGCTCCGTAAATTCCTTTCGGTTTTACTAATTCTCCAATTTTACGAAGTTCATTGCTATTCATCTAGGAGTAAAAAATGCAGGTCAATAAATATTATTAAAAGAATCGAAATGCCTTATTGTCATAATTACCTTATTAAGAAACTGAAGACACCTCTCAGCTTCAGGTCTAACCGTCCACGGAATTTCCAATATTAAGAGCAGATGAAATCTTGGTACTCAGCTCTAAAAATTCCGTTTCAGAAAGGAAGTCTTGAAGAATCTTTGGATCTGATGCATCGATAATACGCCACCATATTGGTCTAAATAATAAAATTGATTAGAATCCGGAAACAACCAAAAACAAAATGTAATAGCGTTTATTAAGTACTTACTCTTTTGCCAATTTTGGCCTCTTAGATGAATCAGTTTGTGAAGTCAAAGATTTATGTTGTTTCATCGCTTTTTGTAACCAGCTCGGAATTGGTGTGTCAAATTCCCAGTCTATCGCGTCAACGATTTCAAAATCATCATCAGTTTCATTTCTATTAGTCTCGCTGGGATCATCATCAATTTCATTTCTATTAGTCTCGTTGGAGTCAATATATTCATCAAATGAAACGTTGAACGTTTTGGTCTAAATCGTATTACAAAAAAATGATGTCATATCTGATACAGAATTCATTTGTTTATGAAAGCGTGAGCTATACATACCTTTTTGGTTGATGTTGTAGAAACTGTTTCTTCATCGATTTTTTGAGGCATTCCGTTTGTAAGAAGAGATTTGTTTTTCTTGCACCGCAAACGAAGTCTCCTTAAGATAGCGGAGACCTGTTCCTTCGAACTCTTTCATCCCTTCTTTCTGAAAATCAAAAAATAAAGAGTTAGAAGAAATATTAATACTAGAGATAGTTCTTGTAAAGGAAACCTACCCATTGTAATCGGGATTCTTCATCAACTATCTCGGATTCCATGATAATGTCCTCTAGGTTCCAAAAGAGTTTTACCGAATTCGATTTTTTATCATCCTTTATTATAGAAAAACAGATTAGAATAATCAAATACAACATGCAAAGTAATGCTCATGCAAAGTAATACTGCGTAATCAAACCACAGACAAGCAAGCAACTTTTGCCTTGCAAGCAAGCAACTCACAAGGTGTCTGTGCGAACAAGCAATCCGAAAACTATCACGGACGAGCAAGCAAGCAACTCTTGTCTTATAAGCAAACAACTCATAAGATGTCCGTGTGAGCAAGCAACTCACAAGATACTCTGTTGAAACACTACAGCGTTTCTCCCGTGAAAATACCAAAACAAACAAAGTAACTCGCCTTAAATTCTTCTTTCCAGTTCAGCGCCTTCTTCCCTATCTCAGTTGTTTCATCATAGTAACTAGTAATAGTATTTAGTTCAAGATTGTATCTGCTGTGTTCCATTTCTGGGTTTTTTAAGTCACCCATACAGCGTCGGAAGTCTAAGAACTTCTTAAGCGAAGGATCATCTCCGTTCCGCCAAAAGGCTAAATATTCACAAACGATTACGATAAAATAGAAAGCATTATTATAAGAAATGGCTTCAGTCTATCTTACCAGTATATTTCAGAGCGTTAATACATTTAGGACTTAGGTACATTTTTACGTCTTTATAAGAAAAAGTAGATGTGAACAATTTTTGACTTAATTTCACTAAATAGACGCGCCGTGACACCAATCTGGCAGATCGGCTAGAAATCAGGGACGATGATCTCCGGCGGCGAAAATTTTTCAAAATCTGCCGGCGCTTATTTTAAAATCTGCTCTGCTTTCTGCGGCTTATGATTATCATTTCTGCTGATATT